CATGAAACACTGCTACAGCTTTGTGCATTGCAAAAGAACCTACTTCAAAGGCTTCCCGCTGGTTTTAGCTTGGGGTGGGGGGGTCATAAGGATGTGAGGGGACTTTGCCAGATTTTGTCAAGACTCCAAACATAGGAGTCTGCCAAAGAAAATGTCACTTCAGTGATGATATTTTAACATTGCAAAACAATTATCCTCCCTCCCCCCCACCTTGTTCTGAGAAGTGGCCCCTTGTTTGTGGAAAATTTCAGTTAAAAAAAAAGTGTTCAGGAGGCAGACAATCAGAGAGGGAAACGTGATTGTAAACAACTAACATTAACCCAAGTAACAAGCAATCACAAAGACGGTCTCTTGAGAAGGAACCGTCAGGCAGCTCCAGTAGTTTTGTGATACTACCAAGCCCATGTTATGGAAAAACAACCAAGTCAACCGCATTTCTACCCACCAAAAGAGAATTCCTTGGAAAGGAAGCATTGCTTGTGCGTGAGCTACACTTGCTTCTGTAAAGGGACTTCGCTTTGCTCCTGCCTTCTCTAACATCAGCCTCCAACACGACCCTGCAAAATTCCTCCTGTGGTCACTTGGCCTCGTTCCCCAGCACAGCCAAAGAGACTAGAGCAAATGACCATTCCTAGCACAGCGCCACGTACGCTGGAACATGCTGTCCCGCTCTCTGTGTTTGTTTTACGGGATTAGGAACATGCCTAAGCCCAAGCTCATTTTGGAACCAATATCTAACACGCAAAGCAGTCTGCTTTGGAGAGAAATGGCAATGTTACTGTGATTAAATGAAAATAATTGGGATTAAATGGGGAGGAAAATGAAATTTCCTTGCAATTACTTAGATTTATTATAAGAACGAGTGACATAACTTGTTGGCTTTATCTGCTCTCCATGGTCTTTCCTTTACATTTTTTCCTCTCCTTTCAGAACCGAATTCTCACTCCTTTGCCTCGTTAAGGAGAGATTACATAGCTTGGTGGCAATTTTCGTGTATAAGAAATGGACTTTAGTGATATAGCTCTGAAAGGCTGGTGTGCTTTTTCTGTTCCAGAAACTCCTTCTGCTGAAACCCAAACAGAATAACACAGTAAGCACAGCTATCTCCCTAAATTATTGCTCAGACATAAGGAAATCATTCTCTTCTCAATGGTTTTGGTGCTGGAAAGCAGAGAAAGCTGCTGATGCTGTCTGCTCTCCATAAATCCTCCTCCTTTGCTATACTGTTCTCCCAGAGATACCCTTGCAGGGCTCTTAAATCAGGACAATGCCTGTGATTTAGGAGAAAATAATACAGTTTATTTGGTGCAGCCTGCTCTGCAAATATCCATGCTCGAAAAGCCACAGAGATCTTCCTACTGTAAAACCCAAGGACAGAAAGTGCTTTTTGGGTGCAGATCAGCACGAGAAGCACCTGGTTCTAACCCTGTGAGACACACTTTTTTTTTTCCAAATTCTGTCCAGCTAAACCAGGCTCTTCCACACATTCCTGGACAATGGCATGAGTTTTGGTCCTTCTTGTGGGTTTCCAGATTTGCTGTTCCAAGAAATAGTTGCAGAGTGGGTCTAAAAACCTTGCGTCTGTGTCAGGCTATAAGGACATGTGTCGACCTACATGGAAGGAGCTGAAATCTCCTGTTGCACTTGGGTCTCCTGCCCTTGCAGCTTCTGCTCACCCTCTGGATACTCTGATCATCGAGGTCAGGTGATCAACTGGATCATTTAATAGCATTTTTATTTGGGGTTGGTATGCCAATGGCCTGTATTACTTCATGAAAATCCTTTTCACCCTTGTTATTTCACAGAATCATAGAATCATGGTTAGAAAAGACCTTCAAGATCATCATCAATTGTTTCCAAACCACTAGGAGTAAAAGCAGACTCATAGAATCATAGAATGCTTAGGGTTGGAAGGGACCTCTAGAGATCATCTAGTCCAACCCCCCTGCACACGCAGGGTCACCTAGAGCACGTGGCACAGGACTGCGTCCCAGCGGGTTTTGAAGATCTCCAGAGAAGGAGACTCCACAACCTCTCTGGGCAGCCTGTTCCAGTGCTCTGTCACCCTCACTGTCGAGAAATTTTTCCTTAAGTTCCTGTGGAACTTTTGGTGCTTCAGTTTCCGGCCATTACCTCTAGTTCTGTCGGTGGCCACCACTGAAAAGAGACCAATGGGAATAGGAAAATTTTAATTGGCAATATGGAATTTTATCACAGCTGTAAAGGACTTTATTCCAAAATTTCATGTAGAACAATACAAGATCCTGCTAATCTGATCATAAAAAATAAATTATTGCAGAAATAAGTCTCCTAGTTACATCTTAATATTTCTTTGGTAAAGTTATGTCTCAGATGTTATTTTTATTCTTGCCATAATCACAGCCATTTGACCAATAGATGAGAAAATGACCTGAGAAATTTCTACAGTTAAAAGTAAATATGCCATGGATTAAAAGGTGTGCAGACAAGACTGTGGCAACTTATATTCTGCAAGACTTGAATATTAAGGAGCCTTTATTACACACATTCATGTCAATTTGACATGTTTCTGAAGCTGTCATCAGAATAGATGCAACAAATAGTAAAAGAGCTTGACACATGTATGCTTGTATGCTTCTGGAATTCAATGGTAACTGCTCTGATTTTAAAGATGTTTTACTTGTTGAGATACTGAGTCATTAATAGTGATGAGGGAAGATGAAATTTATTTTGTCCTGTATTTACTTAAGTACTCTAGGCAATTCATAGTGCAGATTTGTGGGTATATGAATAGGGCAGACTTCCATAATTGCTTTACCTGTAGGTGTTACGGCAAAAAAAAAAAAAAAAAAAAAAAACCAAAAAAAAAAAAAAAAAAACACTTTGTGAGAAAGTAAGATCAAAGCACCAAATGCCATCTCCAGATTCAAACCCGAAGTAACAAATTCTCACAAAACTGACAAGGAGAGCAAAATGGTTTACTTCTTTTAAACTAGAGAAAGAGCAAAAATAGGATAAAAATTCCATTTTTTTCAAGAGAAAAATATCAGCCAAAAGAGAAAGCTTTGGAAAATTTGTGAGAATAGGAAAGGTATAGCTCTACTAACTGTATTTTCTCAGCTTTATAAAAACATTTATAAAACATAAATGAATAATAGAGGGAATATTTTTATTAATAAAAATTAAAACACAAAATTTTAAAACCTATACCAGGAAAAACACTTCATTTTATTTAAACAGCAGTTTAGAAACCAGAAACAAACCAAACAAATTAGTTACTTTCCTATGGATTTATGTTTTGGGGGTAAAAGGCTATTGATGGTGCCTGAGGAGGCCTTAGGTCTGTAGCAGTTCTCAGGAAATCACATTGCTGACTACAGCACAAAATGACTCAAATTGTGCTGAATCGGTAGGCAGAACCTTTGAAACCGGGGAGGCTTGTGGAGGAGTTAGAATCTTAAGAAATGCCAATATTATTTCAGGAACAGAGAAAAAAAATCTTTTTTTTTCCATAGGGAGCAAAACTGGAAGGCAATTAAAACTCAGCAGCATCCTAAAAGCCAACACAATGCTTAGCTTTTGAGTTCAGCTTGGATTGATGATTATGGTTGAAAACTGATATGGGTTTTTCCTAATGCAAAGCTAGTCAAAGCATGGTCCAGCGGGGCTGAAGCCTGGATATTCTCTATTTTTAAGTGCCGAGACACAGTCTGGAGCCCACATACACTAGCACAGAGTGATCCGGTAACGCATGGAGCGGTGGTTTGCACACTGCTGCTTCTGAGGAGCACATCTCTACCTTAAAGACCATCTGGATCGGTCCGTCTTGTGCAGCTCAGGTTGTCACTGTTGCTGTGGGCTGGGCCAAGTCCAGCTGCCCCTTTTGAAAGAGATGAAGCACATCTGCCCTTGGGCCTCAAGCTTGGAGTACGAAAAGCCATTTTGAAAAGGGAAGAAAAGCACAAAAACTTCTACCTTTCTCCCCTGTCATTTACGGTGTCACTATTATGAAGAAAGGTAGTTTGACTACCAAGACCCAAGATACGATGAACACAGCTGGAAACCCTATCAGTAACAGATACCGATGCCTTCACCTATACTGATTTAGGCACAATTCTGAAGTCATGTTATAAATGTCTATAAAGAACATTGTGGTCTTGACATGAGATAACCAAGAAATGTAATTTACTTCATATTTTAAGAAATTAGACTATATCGAATGTGTAATAAAAATATTTTCTGTAGGATTTTAAAATATATACATATATAAACTACCTTGATTTTTAATGCCCTATTAATATTGACATGATCTCTACAGTATCTAAGCGTAACTAAGCGAGGTTTCCCAGCAACCTCCATTATACCTCAGTGATTACAAAATGTAAAACCTTGTCTACACTGTAAATTAAACCTGCTTGAAAACTGGATCTGAAAGGGTCTGCCAGGCTTGAACCAGCACCCACTCTAAGTCAATGCTAAGTCCACTCCTGACTGCAGGAGCTGGACTAGATCCTAGACACAGTCCCAAAATGATGTGGCTTCCCACTCTGTTGGCTGGGCAACACTGAAAGTGTCTGAGGGAGTTACTGTGATCCTTGGAGTACTTTCTGCTAAAATAATAAAGATATTTAGAAATTCTTATGACAATTTGGGCACATCCGCGCTTCATTTTGAAGAGGAGCCCAAATTCAAGCCAATTATCCACAATGTCCAAACTACCCAGAAATAGGCTTTTTTCAAGTTCTGGATACACTTTCAACAAGCTTAACGGGGAAAAAGAGCTTGGGGGCAATGATGGAGTGAATAACATTTATGTCTGCCCTTCCAACAGCATCCATCCCCATACCTACCCTCCTCCTTGCTTGCCCAGTGCACTTTAGCAGGCACGTTGACACCAGACCTCTCCTAGAAGCGCTCCTATGTCAAGTGGCTGCAGTGGCCGATGGCATGGGACAGACCACGTCCATACAGGGCAGCAGAGACATAGCTTTGGGCTGTGTCTTCAACACCTAAAGAAATCTGGGTTGCGTTCTGCTCTCCTCTAGCACTGTGCCTAAAGCAAGCTCAGATTTGCTCTCCATGCAGCATTTGAAGCACAGTGTAGACAAGGTGTGAGGGTCAGATCCTGTTCTAATGCAGGCAAAACTCACCAGTATCATTGGCCTGGACACTTCCCCCTTGCATTATACTTTAAGGTAGGAAGCATGGGAGTTCTCTTGCTTTAAAGAGTTAATATATGGGATTTGGCCACCTGTAGAGGAAAGTTTCTCACTGAGCTTTCGGTTCATCTGCTCCATGTGTCTGGTGTTTTTTCTGGCTTGCCGGAGAGACCTCTTGACTTTCTTCACCCGATCTCGCAACTGCTTGTTGCGCTTCTCCAGGGTGGCCACCTTCTGCTGCAGCTTCTTTACTCTGTCCTCTTCCTCGAACAGGGCTTTCTGGACAGAGGAGCACATGAGCTGAAGAGACAGCAGAAAAGAAATAGGAACACATGAGCTTTACATAGAAATTTGTGAAAGAAAGGATTAATTCAGTTCATACCATCAGCTTACGTTTCTACTAAAAGCTTTTCTTTCTCTTCTGTATTTAGAAAAGGCCCCAAATGTAGATCTTGCTGATATTAACTATTCATAATGACTTTTAGGAGATGTTTTCAGAGTTGCTTGTCCATCCCACTGAGGTTACATTGCATTCATGGAGGAAGAGTTTGATTTGATTACCTCAGAAAACTCCAAACACCAAAATTTGGAGCTATTTCTGCCTTTTCAAGACTTGATTTGTCTGGAGCATCTTAGTACATGTGCTTTCTTTAGCTGAAACTCAAAAGGGTAAGATCTCAGCAACCCCTAGGAGCATCCCATAACTTTAACAGAACTGATGTATTTCTTGGGTCATCGGCTGAGTTTGCGCTCCTAGCGCGCTAAGTTTATATTTCTTGGGTGATATATTTCTTGGGCTGAGTTTGTGCTCCTAGCGCGCTAAGTTACTCAGGATGGGATCCTGCTGCCTTCGCTTAGGCAGCTAAAGGTGAGAGACCAAGTCTGGGCTCCCCTTGTAATGTCCACAGGGAGACAGACCTTTCCAGAGTATGAACTTGATTTCCCAAGGCATTGGGAAGAATCACCCTCTGGAGACAACTCTCTCTTCACTGACTACAAAAGCACCAAGTTCCACCTTTTCTCTCCAGAAAACATTTTCCAAAAAGAATAAGAGAATAAGAGAATGCACCTGGGGATCAAGCGCAGCCCCAACATAAAGATGCTGATCTATCTCTCCAGAAAACATTTTCCAAAAAGAAAAAGAGAATGCACCTGGGGATCAAGCACAGCCCCAACATAAAGATGCTGATCTACAGAAGCCACCACAGAAACTTATTTCTTTCCAAAATGAGTGCCTCCTCCCTTTTTTTTTTCCTTACAAAAAAAATCCTTAGATATTTAATAAGGCAAGTGAGATTTTCGGCTGATTGCTGAAGTGGTGTGATGTGAAGAAAGGCAGTATCTTCTGTTGAATTTAACTGCTATATATCTCTACATTTTGTGTGTGTCTCAAGCACTCCTGGAGACTTCATGGGCTTTCTCTGGCAGAACACTTGGAACAGACATGGAATCTAAATAAACAAGTAAATCCTCCCTGTGATGATGAAGGATTACATGTTTCTTTCCATCTTGCTTTGTAGTATTTTTGACAACTGAAAAGGGGGGAGGGAGGGGGACTCGAGCCCACTTTGAGGGATAACATTTCATTTGCTTTGGAAACTCCCAGCAGCTGAAAACCACGGCCAGTCAACACAGCAACTGCTTCGATAACCATCAGCTCTTGAATCTTTTGCAAGTGCTCTGCAGGGCTTTGCAAAGAGGGACATTTGCCCTCGCTTTCCTCTCACTTGGCTCCTTCATAAACGCAATCTCGGGAGACTGGGAACGCACAGTGAAAGGGCAGATACTGTACCAAAGAGGAGGGAATTTGGTTTTGATCAAAGCTAATTCCAAAGCTTTCTGAGAACAGCCAGCACCTCTTGGCTTTTGTTTTTGCCAAAGCCTTGCAAAGTTTCATGTGGAACACTTTTCAAATTTAAATCCCTGCAAAAGAGAGCACTCAGTTAGGAAAAGCTGTTTATTAGGAAGGCATGGGCTGGTGACTCTCCTTGCTGAGGAATTTCTTGCATTTTCTGTTCCTGCACTGATAGGCACAGGGCATTACAGACACCAAACCAGAATAACACACAGCTGGTGCTCGAGTGCAGCTGAGGTTGTGTCTCCTCTACCTGGGCTGGCTGCTGGGGGCACAGGGACTTCTGAAGAGTGACATCAGGGGTGACATTAGCTTCAGCACAGAGTGACTTCCAAATCTTTGAAGTCCTCCCTTTGAAGGGGGATACCTCCAGAGGAATCCAGTTGTATAGAGGCACTCAGAGACCTCTCAAAATGCCTGAGCATGGGAGATGCTGCTCCCATCTGAGCATGTCTAACTTTTGCTGGGCTTACAGAACCAGTACAGCAAAGACTGGGAGCCAAATTTTAGTCCTTCCTGTGCCATAGCCACAGACTTGCTTAAATTCCCTGGAGATTTCCAGAAAGATCACTGGAACAACAGTTATAAAACTACATTAGTGCCAGAACGGCACGGCTTTCCTTACGAACAGCATAAACTAGCCCCAGCTTGATGGCTGCCTGCAATTGCAGGACCACCTGAAAAATAAACCTCCTTTGCTCCTTTGGCATGTGGAAAGAGAGCAAGGGGGGACTCACATCCTTGCCAGCTGGTTGCAGACAGCTCGTAGCACATAGATCTGCAATAAATGCGGTGTTTAAATCTGAGTGCTGTCTGGCCCCTGCTGCTACCGCTGTGCCTACGCTTCACATGGGTGCACCCAAGTTATTTTTAAACTATTAGATCTGATGTTGAGAACTGAGCAACTGTGACAGCTCGGAGCTCAGCAGAGCCTGTATAACTAACCCTGCAGGCAAATAAATAGGTGAGGAGTTAACCAGCCCTCAGTCCGTGTTGCTGCTCGGGTATCTCTTCCTTTGCAGGCATCTGAAGTATGTCTGCTCTGTGCAGCAGGTCCTATGGAGTGTATTACAGACAGGGATTTCACACCCCATTTTGTCTGTCTCATGCATCCACACGCACAGTCTGCACTGATGATCAAGAGCAAACCTTAGACCAGATGTATTGGTAAAAGCTACAGGAACTGAATTTTGGTTCTGGGAATGTCCCTCACACCCACTACTGCCCACAGACACTTTCAAGTACAGTAGTTTATTTTTCAAGGAGAGAAAACCCAGCACCGGCATCCAGGCCCAGTCCTCCATCTACCAAAGGGACCAAAACTGAGGTCTAACTTCCTCCTCATACATGGTCCCTGCCGAGAGCACCACTAAAACTCAGGGGAACCTCATTACCCAAAAGCCTTTCCCCTCAGAGTTAAAGGTTTCTTTCACATCAGTCAGAATTTTTGGTCACTTTAAATACAGGGTTGGAAAAGGCGACTGCAGAAATGCCTTTAAATATGTGACAGCAAGCCTCTGCACAGACATGAGGTGGCTTTGGAAGAATTAGGCAATGGTCACTTGGGTTTCTTGTCCTTCAGTCCTCCTGACCAGCAGTGCCATCCAGAGCAGTGTCTGGTCATGCTGGTGCTCCTCCAAGATCCTCCCTCGCCATGTGTCCTTCCAAACGGAGAAAAAGCAAAGCTCCCAGGCCTGGGTGCTCCTTCTTTGAGACGATGTCCACGTTCTCCTTCGGAGCTGGCACCTCTCGTACCTCCCGGCGCATCCCGGGCTGCTCCCTTCGCTGGCCTCCCTGCTGCCTGCAGCAGCTGATGTTTCGTCCCTCCCTTGAGCACAATGCACCATCCAGGAGAAAAAAAGCCAAAAGCAGATTCCAAACCCAGGATCGCCCCAGAAAAACCTCCTTACCAGCAGCGCTTGGGAGTGTCCAGGGGAAGAAATGAGAGCTGCTCGCGCTGGAAGCGCAGCCCAAGCCGCAGCTCCTCCTCTGCTGCAGAGCCGCTTCCTGCCCGCTGCCCGCCCGAGCTCTTCATAGTCCGCATTTCTCCCCTCCTGTCCTTCCCTGCCATAAATCTGCTCCCCAGAGAAGGCAGAAGGCTTTCTGCCTTTGCTGCACATGGCCTCCCTGCACAGTTAACGTTACATAAAATATCCCAAACCAAAACCTTACGCAGCATGAAGCATGTCCCTCCAGCTTTTTACTTGCTTCATCACAGCAACAATCCGTGCGCTCTCTCCAAAGAGCCTCAGGAGCCAAATGCAGCTCTTTTTTCTTTAACTCCGCCAGGACTGGTTTCTTGAACCCCTTCTGCCTGTTCAGGAGGCAGGGCTCCATGCCCCATGGATGCTGATGCAGATACAGCAGCGCTTGCACAGACAAATCTCACCTCTCCTGGCCAGCACATTCCCCTTTCAGCCCATCCTTCCTGGATTTCAGACCTCAAGCATCACTCTCTTCTTGCATCCAGCCTCCTGGGCAGGCTGAGTGAGCGTGTTGGGTGGTGGGTGACAGCCTGCTTGAGCTCCTGTCTCCACCAGACTTTGCCCTCACTTTTCAGAGGTACCAAATCAGGGTCCCAAGGCTGTGCCAGCCTCACTCCTTTAATATGGACGAGTTGGACTTTCAGTCACTTTTTATCAACCACAAAGATACACATGATCTGAATGGAGGTGAATGGTGCCATTATTTTCCTTTCACCATTCTCTAAAAGCAGATCATAAATGTAAATGCTTGAGAGGCATCTAGCCTAGGCAAGTCATCTAGGTTTGCCCAGGTCTCAATGTAGAGGAACCGGCATGCCCACCTTGGGTTACTCAAGAGACCTACCTTGGGTTACTTGGGTTATCTTTACTTGAGTTACTTGAGTTATCCATATTGGGGTCATTTGGTTACCATTCCCCAGGTAACCAGCTCAGGTTGATAGAATTGCCCAAGATGGATCCCACCCTGAGTGCCATGAAATGGCACCTGGCTCAACTGGCTGCCCCAAGGGAGGCTGCAAAAGTGGCACCAAGGATCATTTTCAGAGCACTGGAGAACTTTGCTCTGAAAACATGACTCAAATCCAAGATCCATGAGCAATCAGGAGTCTTTAAAACAGCCTTGTTAGTTTGTATCTGCATCAAACTGCTATTTGTACCACAGAAAATCACCTGAAGAATCATCTGAGAGCCTGTCAGAGGCAGCTCTTGGCTGATACCTTGTCTGATACTTGGCCCTGACTCTCCTGTTACTGAAAAGGGTCCATCTCCCTGGAAAAAGTGAGCCCTGTTTACAAGCTGTGACGTAAGGCCAGAGTGCCAGCAGCTCCACCAAGACATGGACTCAGCATAAAGGATGTTTTTTTACAGGGAAGAATATTTTTCAAAAGGAAAAACATCCACAGCCTATTCTTTTTCTGATCCTTTTTTTTTTTTAAACAATCACCTTAAACTGAACAAAT